AAAGATGGCAGTACAAAAGAGAAACAGAAATTACCTTTCCTACATATTAGCTATTCAGAAAATACAATAGAAAAAATCTAACTCACAACAATAAAACTCAAAAACTCTGTAAGAATAACTTTTTTTTTAACAAATATGCTCAACATATAAGAAAAGCAAAATCTAAACATTACCAAAGGACATAAAAAAATGACGTTAATAAACTTACATTAAAACTCATAACCAAACTACTATTTACTTGCTGAATGTTAGGCACTGGCCTAAATTCTTTATTATGTCATTTATTGATCTCAACAACTCCATTGAGTAGCTGTGTTTTTCTTCATTTTACAAGTGAAGACACTACAGATCACAGAGGACACATCATTTACCCAAAGACACATGGGCTTTAAGTGGCGAAGACAACATTCAAACCCAGTTTTGTCTGGCTCAAGGCCTGAACTCTTAGTCACCGTGTAATACTAAAGAGATTGAAAATTAAAATGGATGGGGGAACCAATCAGATAACTTAAATAATTAAGGGGCAGAAATGATAGTGTGGGGAAATCCAAGAATGTATGTCCTCCCTGAACTGGGCAACTGCTGCTCAGGCAATTGTTGATATGTGGAACTGTGAGCCCAGTATTGGCAGATTTTCCAATTCTTCAAAAGAAACTGGAAATCTGATGTGCATATACAATGTCTCATTTTCAAAACTTTAAGGAGGGCTGGGGTAGTGAGTAATGATGGCAGTGAAAATGGCAGAGTATGGACAGAAATCGACATCTCCAGGGTCCTGTCCTTCTGTAGAAACAATGGGAAAATAAGTCAAAACAGTAAGTCAACTTTGTTGGGACTCTGGAAAGTAGACAAAGCTTTTCAGCAACCAAGTGAATGTTTAGTCAAGAAAGAGGGAACTTTAAGAAGAGTAGAAAATTATTGCAGCATTTTTACTTGTCCTTGCTCCCAGCTTTTCAACTCAGCCACAGTTTTGAAGATAGTAGTCCATGTGGAACCATAGTCCCTGGTTCCACAGGAAGCAGAATACACTCCATTCTCAAAGAACTGTGTTTGTCTTTTGTGATTTGTCTGAAGGCTACCTGAAGGACTGACACAGATGCCGAATGGATAGAATATCAAGACAGAAGATCAATAAAAAAATAAAAGACTTAAACAACACTAAACCAGCTAGACCTCACAGATATATAAAGAACATTCCACCCATAATAGCTGATAAATATTCTTTTTCAAGGAACATTCTCCAAGACAGAACTTCTGTTAGTCACAAAACAAGTCAATGAATTTGAAAGACTGAAATCCTAAAAAGTATATTCTCTGATACATGCCATGGAATGACACTAGATATCAGTAACAGAATGAAAACTGGAAATTTCACAAACATTTTGAAATTAAATCATACAGTTTAAAATAACCAATGGATGAAAAAAATATTACAAGGGAAATGTATACCTTGAGATGGATGAAAATACCTTGAGATGGATGGAAATAAAAGCACAACATACCAAAACTTATGGGATACAGGGAACACTAAGGTTCAGAGGAAATTTAGAGCTGAAAATGCCTACATTAAAAAAGAAGAAATCTCAATTGATAACTTGACACCTTAAAGAACTATAAGGAGAAGAGCAAACTAAACTCAAATTAGAAGATGGAAGGAAATTCTATTCTAAAGAATTGAGCAGAGATAAATGAAATAGTGTATAGAAAATCAGAGAATCAACAAAATGAAAATTTGATTCCTTGAAAAGATCAACAAAATTAACAAACCTTGTGCTAGACTGAACAAAAAATGGAGTAGTACTGAATAACTTAAGTCAGAATTGAAAGTGGGGATATTACTATCACCCTTATGGAAGTAAAAAGGGTTATAAGAGAATAGTATGAACAACTGCATTGCAAAAAAAAAAGAGAGAGAGATAACCTAGATGAAATGGACACATTGTTAGGAACATATTATCAAAACTGACTCAAAAATAATAGAAAATCTCAACAGATCTATAACGCATAAAGAGACTGAGCCAACAACAGCAAAAACAATATAATCAAAAATATAAAACTCCCTGGCAAACAAGGCAGAAAACTTTATTTGCAATTTATATAGTGAAGAATTAAAAGTTTTAATACATAAAAAGCTCTCACAAATCAAAAAGGAAAAGACAAGGTAAGACTAGAAAATTTACCCTAAAAATCCAAGGTTATTAAACATGTAAAAAAGAATACAAATTAAAACAAAATGATATGTTTCACTTATCAGATAAGTGAAAATGAAAAGCATGTACAGAACTAGACTCTGTATAGCATTCTCATAAATTACTGGTGCAGCTAGAGACTGGCCCAACTTTTCTGGAAGACTTTTTTAAATATAGTACTTTCAAAGAACCAGAAAGAGCACATTTCCTTACCCAGGCAATTCCACAACAGAAAATTTATCTCAAGGAAAAAATATAACAAGCTTATAAAATGTTTGTACAATGACAGTCAATGCAGCACTGTTAAAAGAAAAAATTAATGCATATAATAAATTACATATATATTTTTAAATAGCTACTCTTTATAAAGCATATATGAACTATATATATAATCTCATTTTGTTTTCACAAGAATTCTGAGAAGTATTATATTATTCCCATTTTCATCCACAGATTAGAAAATTGAAGATCAGAAAAATAAAGAGGTTTGCTCAAACTCAACAATCTATTAAGTAACAGATACATAGTTGGAACAAATTTGGTCTAATGCCAAAAGCCAATGTCGTTTGGATTATGTTTCTTGACATAGAAGAACATTTAAACCATAGTTTTAAATCACAATGTAATTTATAGAACAATTACATGGTTTGATTCCATTTTGTAAAATACATATCTATAGATATTAAGCATATAGATTTGCATGGGAAAAATTCTTGAAGGGTATACATCAAAATGTTAATAAAGATTATCCCTGAGTGTTTGGGGAGCTTTTTAAATTTATGCTTGTTTTACTTACTTTTCTACAATCAGTCAGTTCAGTTCAGTTCAGCTGCTCAGTCATGTCCGACTCTTTGAGACCCCATGAATCGCAGCATGCCAGGCCCTCCTGTCCATCACCAACTTCCAGAGTTTACTCAAACTCATGTCCATTGAGTCGGTGATGCCATCCAGCTTTCTCATCCTCTGTCGTCCCCTTCTCCTCCTGCCCCCAATCCCCTCCCAGTATCAGGGTCTTTTCTAATGAGTCATCTCTTCACATGAGGTAGCCAAAGTATTGGAGTTTCAGCTTCAGCAATAATTATATTAAAATATAAATGGAAAAACAAATCTGCAAAACCAATATCCCTGTAAAGTTGCAAGCCATAGTCCATCACCTATTTTATTCCAAACAAAGAATGTATTTGCTTCACACATTTTTAGATAAATAAGTAAGGCAAATCTTTAATATATTTATATTCAACAAACATATCTTGAGCACCTACTATGTGTTAGGTGTGTGTGGGTATTAGTCGCTCAGTCATGTCCAATTCTTTGTGACCCCATGGACTGTGGCCCACCAGGCTCCTCTGTCCATGAGATTCTCCAGGCAAGAATACTGGAGTGGGTTGCCATTTCCTTCTCCAGGGGATCTTCCCGACCCAGGGATCTAACGCATGTTTCTTATAACTTCTACATTGGCAGGTGGGTTCTTCACCACTAGCGCCACCTGGGAAGCCCATGTGCTAGGTACCGTTAGGTAAATGATTTTATTTCAGTGTGTCTAAATTCTCCTGCTCAGAAGTATGGCACCAAAGGTACCCACTCTCCCTCTCACTCCTTAATTACTACTATTTGCGTTTGGATTTTAAGTTTTATCTCTAATTACCAAATGCAATTAAACCCGTATTAAAAGAATATCTGGCATTATATTACCAATCCTTGGCTTGCCTTAGTGATTTAGGCTCTGGAAAGCCAAACTCCCAAGTCACCACCTCTGTACTGATCTGCTCCTGCAGGTAGAGAGCAAGCTGGCCTGAAGTGGATTCTTAAGGTCTATTCCAAAAAGGGAGGGCAACTATCAAAGTGTAGACCCCATTGGCCACCATCAAGTGCAAATTCCCCACATGTTAAATATTCCTTCTCCTATCTCTCCCTAGCCTTTCTTACTCCTTTTCTTTCTGGAACTCTGGCTCCTAACCCTAACAGTCCCTTCTGCTGTAAGACCATTGGATGGTGTGCTTTTAGAACCCATTCTCACTGCATTTTCTCTTCTCCTTCCAGCCCTGCAACCATATATGACTTTAGTACCTTGAGTGTTAGAAGGACTAAAGCCTTCCTGGTACCACCGAAAACAGTACTGGCATTGTTTGTAAAGGCAGGATTTTTTAAGTTTTGTTTTGTTAAAAAAAAAAAAAAAAATTGGAACAATCACCACAATACCAATTAGAGTTTATAAAGAAAAATAACATTTAGCAGGACCATTTACAATCACAGTACCCAGTAGTAATATACTCTGCACTACAACTGTGGTTATACAAGTAGCCAATGAATCATGGGTCCGTTTGATGGCAGCAGTAACCTCTGTTCAGGTATGCCGCCCTCGTGTGGTTGGACGCGTGTTCTGTTGATTCCAGAGGTACCTGTAGGATCCTATTTGACACACAACACTGGGCCTCTGCAAGAAAAAAGCAAGGAGCGGAGCACTCTAAGGCACCGCTTCACAGAGCCCTGAGGCCTGCTCACTGGGCTGTGGCAACACCAGCCTGTAGTCACCCCTCTTCTTGGGAGAAGGTGAGCTAAGCTCACATACTGAACTTGCATCCACTCTGAGCGCCCAGAGGCAGCTGGTCCCCAGGCAGCCGCCGGAAGTCCCGCTCACTGCCTGACACTCACTAGCGTGCGTCAGCATGCCTAGAAAAACCAGCGCGGAGGCCCGAAATAAAGCCCATGGGCATTGTCACTCACACACGCTCTGACGGTTGCCTAGACGACCTAGATCCGGCCCCACCCACAGAGTCTGGCAATCTGGACCAGTCGGGTACCATGCAGAAAATGGAAAAGCCTCCAGAAGAGGCTCCCACCGAATCCTCGGAAATCCAAAGACCAGCCAAGCCCCCAGATGACAGCCACACAGATGGCCAGGAAGACAGCGGGCAGAACCAGTATGAAGTGGAGGCAGACCACCAGACTGATGACAGAGCAGCTGACCAGACTGCCCAAATGGTGTCTGGCCTAGATGAACCCAACATAGTTAATCAAGCTGACTACAAAGTAGATGAACACATGGGAGAAAGAACATCTGATCAGGCTGATCAGAGGATGTCAGAACAGATGGACAGCAAGGCATCTAGCCAAGCTGATGGTGTCAGGTCTGAACATACTGACAACCAGATGTCTGCCCTGCCTGAACAAGGTACTTATGAGCAAACTGAACGGAGAACGTCCAGCCCAGCTGAGAGAAGGGCTTCTGAACAGTTCGACCGAAAGCCATCTGTGCCATCTTTACAAAGAGCCCATGAGCAGAGTGATCACAGAATGCCCCGACCAGCTGACCAAAGAACTGCTCAACAAATTGAAAGTAGATTGTCCGGCCTGATTGAGACAAAAACTTATGAACAAGTTGATCAGAGATCATCTGACCAAGCTGACCACAGAAGAGCTGCAAAGACTCACCGCAAAGTGCATGACCAGGCTACTAACCAAGATGAACACCCTGAGACTGACTCTGACAAGGCTGGTGGTGAATCTGACCAGGCTGATGACTTACTGGGCAAAGAGCATGATTACACAGAAGACAACCTGTTTGACTACGGAGAACAGTCTGATGACAACATATTCAGACAACTTGGCTACGGCATGGAAGAGGAAGAGGATGACTTCAAAGTGCAACCCTGCAAATTTGAGCCTAGCCAGACAGATGCCAGCATATCTAAGACTTCCAATGAAACTGACACTGAAAGTGTAGCGGACCTGCGAGTCTTCATGCCATTTGATAACAGTACTTTACAAACAAAAGAACAAGCCTACTCTGAAAGGTTTCCCTCCATTTCATCTAAACTGGACTATATCATCAGTCGAGAAAAACCTCAACCCACAGAAGTCGAGCCTGTAGGTTAAACGGACATTTGATACCCACCTGGGAGGTTGGAGATCAAGCCAGGGTTCTGGGAGAATGCAGGCAGAGGGCACATGCTGTGGTATGTGTAACCCATAGAATTCAGAAAGGCAGGAGTAGGGTGGGAGATAACGAGATGGGTTGCCTTCTCAGCTACCCTAAGTAGGCCATTCAGGGAGGATCAATGAATCAGGATGCAGGAACCCTGGGTTTCAAGTCCTGGTTCTGCTGCTAACCCTGGGAAACTCATTTCCCCTCTCTGAGCTTCTGCCAAAGGAAAGGAATTTGGAGTCTGTTGGATATTTATGTGAAGGGAAAAGTAGACTGGTGATGTCTAAGGCACCTCTCAAGACCTGAAGTACATTACATTGCCTGGAGGACCAGCCAGGTCTCTCATAAGGTGTTTAGTTTCTAGAGTTCAGATCCCGTCAATACCAAATTCCACTAATAACATCAACAGTAGCAACAAAACTTCTGGGAATTTTCTATTCATTAAAGACTTTCTTGGGGGATATTTCCATTTTAGGATGATTTTTCAACATACCAGGAAAGGATTTCTGATGCATACAGTCAACCTTTTAAGAGGCGATTCCCTCCTATAGTATATGAAGATCCTTATCAAGTTTCACTTCGATACATGGAGAAACACCACATTCTGCAAATATTCCAGGTAAACCTCTCAATCTCTTTTTAAAATGTGAGTTTTAAAGTAATTATAAAAGACAAACACTGACCTGGCTCTTAAAAGGTACAAGAAAAGGTGCTTGCTATAAAAAGGATATAATCTCAGTGTCAGTCAGTAAATGCATTAAGAGTTTTAATCTAAGGTGGTAAATGATAAACACCAAATGAATGATTCTTACCATAATATGAAGCCCTTTAGAGGAATTAGAGATTTGATAGTTTGGTTGCCAGGGGAATAAAATTGGTCAAGGGTTAAAGTTTGAGCCGGACTGAGGAAGGAGGGACAAAATATTGGCAATTAAAAAGGAGAGAAAAAGATTTCCCAGGAAGGAATATAATATTTTCAAAAGATGACCAACTTGTGACCATCTAAGAAACCACATTTTTTTTTAGTGTGGAACATTTTTAAGTTCTTTATTGAATTTATTACAATATTGCTTCTTTTTATTTATTTTTTGGTTTTTTGGCCACAAGGCATATGGGATCTTAGCTCCCTCACCAGGGATCCAACCCATACCCCTCTGCATTGGAAGGTGAAGTCTTAACCACTGGACCACCAGGAAAGTCCCAAGAAACCACATAAAAATGAAGTAATTAGAAGTTGCTTTTACAACTGACCAAGAAATAATCTCAAAAATATACAAGCAACTCATGCAGCTCAATTCCAGAAAAATAAATGACCCAATCAAAATATCAGCCAAAGAACTAAACAGACATTTCTCCAAAGAAGACATACAGATGGCTAACAAACACATGAAAAGATGCTCAACATCACTTATTATCAGAGAAATGCAACTCAAAACCACAATGAGGTACCATCTCACACCAATCAGAATGGCTGCCATCAAGAAGTCTACAAACAATAAATGCCGGAGAGGATGTGGAGAAAAGGGAACCCACTTACACTGTTGGTGGGAATGCAAACTAGTACAGCCACTACAGAGAACAGTGTGGAGGTTCCTTAAAAAACTGGAAATAGAACTGCCATATGACCCAGCAATCCCACTGCCGGGCATACACACCAAGGAAACCAGAATTGAAAAAGACACGTGTACTCCAATGTTCATTACAACACTGTTTATAATAGCCAGGACATGGAAGCAACCTAGATGTCCATCAGCAGACGAATGGATAAGAAAGCTGTGGTACATATACACAATGGAATATTACTCAGCCATTATAAAGAATGCATTTGAATCAGTTCTAATGAGGTGGATGAAACTGGAGCCTATTATACAGAGTGACGTAAGTCAGAAAGAAAAACACCAATATAGTATATTAACACATATATATGGAATTTAGAAAGATGGTAACAATGACACTATATACAAGACAGCAAAAGAGACACAGATATAAAGAACAGACGAGGCGAGGATAGGATGATTTGAGAGAATAGCATTGAAACATATATATCACCGTATGTGAAATAGATGAACAAGTTCATCTATTTGAACTGTTTCATCTATGTGAAACAGGGCAGTCAAAGCCAGTGCACTGGGACAACCCAGAGGAATGGGATGGGGAAGGAGGTGGCAGGGAGGTTCAGGTCTGGGGGACACATGTACATCCATGGCTGATTCATGTCAGTGTATGGCAAAAACCACCACAATATTGTAAAGTAATTAGCCTCCAATTAAAATAAATAAATTAATTTTAAAAAATTAAATGAAGCTATAGTTCTCCTTTTATCTATCTGTTGATGCCTAATGATAACTATCTGGATGAAGATCTAGAATTAGAGTCAATAAATAATCCACTGATATACTATTATGATTAAAATTATATCAACTGTCAAAAAATTACTTTTAATTCTTGAAATTACAAATCTTACTGACCTCAGGATATGGAGGTGGAACCTTCTTTAAAGTATGATATTCCTTGACCAATATAGCATTATATATTATCACATTTAAAAGTTTTGTTGCTTTGTGGGTTGCTTTGTTTCTCTTTTCCTTGAATGTGTATTTTAATGTTAATATTATTACCCAGCAAGGCATATACGCATATGTAATAACATACATACATGAAGTAACTTTTTATCGTGTGGTTATAAAGTTGTAAGTAAGAATGCATGCTTAGTTGCTCAGTCATGTCCGACTCTTTGTGACCCCATGGACTGTAGCCTGCCAGGCTTCTCTGTCCATGGGGATTCTCCAGGCAAGAATACTGGAGTGGGTTGCCACGCCCTCCTCCAGGGGACCTTCCCAACCCAGGGATTGAACCCAGGTCTCTCACACTGCACGTGGATCCTTTACCGTTTGAGCCACCAGGGGCGCCCAGGTTAGAATGGCCCACCTCACGTGAAAACATTTAAGCTGGAGAAATTTAAGTTTAAAGAAGCAGGATGTAGAGGAAAGTGTACAAATTGTATAATCTATTAGCCCAAGTCTCCAAGCTAAATTTCCTCCTTCTCATCTTTGTAATTTGGAGGAGATTACCTAATTTCTGTGAATCTCAGTGTCCTCATATAACAGGGATAAGTGATATTTACTTTATTAATGTTATTCTATGCCGCTTCTTTCTTTAAAATGTCCTTTTGTGGAAGAATGCTAACTGCTGGGCTTTCTGGCTTTAACAAAGAACTACTAATTGTTAAACTTAAGGACAGAAGCCCTAGAAAGTAGAATTTTAATCATTCTGTAAGCAATTTTCTTCATCTGTCAAGAAAAAACAGTGTTTATGCATTGAACATTGTGATAAGTAAAACTAGTTATAAATGTGTTCAGTAGAAATATATGTGAAATGATTAATGAGCATGCATGCATTAAACAGTTCAAAATACTTTATACCAGAAATTTGCCCTACTGTTATTCCCTGCAAATGAGAATTCCGTTTACTTTATTAATAATTTTTGTTATTCAACAGCAACAAAACATATGAAAGTGAGTCTCTGAAGTCTTTGATATGCTTTCTCATTTATTATTACAAACACAGAACATCATTTTAACCTTTTAGAATCAAATGCCTTAGGAAGTTTCTATGTAAAAATCATAGTGTTTTAAAATTTTTACTCAAAAAAGTTTCTTTGACTGTTCTTTGAAGTAAATTATTTATTGATTTCTCAGTCTAGCAAAATCACAATTCTCAAAATAAAAACTTCCTCCAAAACCTTCTCACTACCTCTTTGATCTTAAAAACTAGAAAAATATCCACTGCTGTTTATTACTAAATCTTTAGTCATCCACATTTTACCTTAATTTACCTAAACTTATCAGTAGTAAGGAAGTAATTTGTCAATATGTAGACATATATGAATTTTTTTAAATACTGTGATACAAAAAAAAATGCTGTGGTACTTGTTAGGTTAATGCAACATATTACCTCAGGTATAACCTGACTACATAAGTTTAGTTCAGAACCATAATGTAATATCTTTCTCTCTCTCAGCAGATCACTGAAAACTTAGTCTATGAAAAGCCAGAGGATCCCCTGAATTTTATGCTGGGCCAGGTATGGAATAGGAGAAAAAGAGCAACCTAGTTATTCTTTTTATTATAAAATATAGCACACATACAAGTGTACAAAACATGTGCAACTCAGTCAATGGTCATGAAGTGAGCATATCTGTAACTGCCATTCAGGTTAAAAAAACAAAAAACTAAACAGCATCAGCATCTGAGAAGTCCCCTTCAGTTTCCTCAAGGTTATCACTTTCCACAAAGGGACTATTATTTTGACTTTTATGGTAATGACATTCTCACTTTTCTTTTTAATTTTGCTATGAAACATGAATCATAACACTCTTGTTTAGACTTATCAGATTTTTGAAATTTTTATTTTATTTTATTTAGTGGTTAAGAACATGACTTCTAGAACCAAACTGCTTTATTTTTTAGACTTAAAAATATTTTTAGTTTTAAATTTTTATGCAATTTTTAAAGCTTACTTTCCATTTACAGTTATTACAAAACATTGTCTATATTCCCCATGTTGTACAATACATGCTTGAGCCTGTCTTACACCCAATTATTTGCTCCCTGCCCCCACACTGGTAACCATTAGTTTGTTCTCTGTATTTGTGTAGACTTGTCAACCTTTTAAACTTTATATAAAGGGAACCATGTAGTAGAAATTCATTTGTTCATTCTTTTACTCAAAACTATGTCTGTGAAATTAATCCATGCTATTGTGTGTGGCTGTAGTTCATTTACTTTCATTGCTATATAGCATTCATCACTTGAAATGCCACAATTTATTCATTCTGTGATAAATATGGACCTTCAGGATAACCTATTACAAAACTTTTTCCTAGGAACTTTCATGTGCATGTCTCTTGGTACACATAAATACGCATTTCCCTTGGGTACATACCCACAAGAGAGAATGCTGGATTCTAAAGTATGTGTAGCTCAGCTCTAGTACATTGCATCAAATGATCTTCCAAGGAAATTTTCACCAATTTACACTCCCACTAGCAGTGTGTATTAGAGTTTTGGTTGTCTTACATCATTACCACTTACACCCAACAGTATTACCAGTCTTTTCAGCATTAGCCTTTTTAATGGATGAACAGTAATAAATCATTGCAGGCTCAACTTATTTCTCCTGAGTACTAAAGCAGTTGCATACTTTTTCATTTGTTTATTGGCCATTTGGAAATATTTCTTTTCTATTATATTGTCTTTTAAAATCATTTGTAACTGTTCTCTATATATTCTGGTTGTGAGCTCTTTGTTGATGTGCTTGCTACATGTATATTTTCTGACTCTTTGCCTTCGTATTTTATCTCTTAAAGATATCTTTTGATGAACAGGAATTTTTAATTTTTATATATTCAAATTTATTTTATTACTTCTGGTGTCCTATATTAGAAGTGTCTTCTTAGCCCAAGTTCCTCACCTTCGTCCCTGTATTATCTTGTAGAAGAGTTTTTTATGGATTTTGTTTTGTTTTGCTTTTTACATTTATATCGAATCAGTTTGGAATTGATTTTGTATAGGATGTAAGGTGAAGTCAAGCTTTATTTTCTTTCAAGCAGACATCCAACTGATGAAGCACCTTATAGGAAAAGACAGTACTTTCCACACTGTTTTTTTATTTGACTCCTGTAGTATATTTGTTGATCCTTGTTCCGCTATAAGAATCTCTTAGTTAGAATTCCCCAAAATAAGTTTTAATATTTACCAGAGCAGGTCCTCACATCTTATTCTTCTTTTAAAATATCTTGGTTGTTCTTCAGTTCAGTTCAGTTCAGTTCAGTCGCTCAGTCGTGTCTACTCTTTGCAACCCCATGAATCGCAGCACGCCAAGCCTCCCTGTCCATCACCAACTCCCGGAGTCCACCCAAACCCATGTCCATTGAGTCGGTGATGCCATCCAACCATCTCATCCCCTGTCGTCCCCTTCTCCTCCTGCCCCCAATCTTTCCCAACATCAGGGTCTTTTCTTAGGTGTGCATTTCCTTTTCAGCATTTAGAATTATTTGTGAAGTTACACACACACACACACACACACACACACTAGCACACACTGATGGGATTTTGTGGGGAGATTGCTTCGGCTCTGTTGATCAATTTGGGGAGAAGTGTTCAATACCAGCTTAAAACAATAACTTTTATCCTCTCCATTTATCTAGGTCTTTAATTTCTTCCAGTATCATTATTATTTGCATAAAGATTTTACATATCTTTTAATGGATTTATTCATAGGTATTTTATAATTTTGATGCTATTAAACTAGAAACTTTTAAAACTTCAGGTTCTAATTTCTGACATATAGATATGTAACTAATTTTTGTTGATCTTATTTGCAGCAACCTTGTTAAACTCAATATTTCTAATCAAGTACTTGTGGATATTTGGGGTATTCCAGCATATACAATCATATCATATTTAACCTTTCCAATCCCTATCTTTTCCTTCTGTCTGTCTTTTTGCATGTCTTATAACCCCCTCAGATCTACCTTCATCTCTTCTTTACCCTGCAGAGAAGCTATCTGCACGGACTAGATCAATAGGCTCTCATTCCTTTTGATTTACAGTGGGTTAAGCCAGTAGGAAACTGTGGAGAAAGATGGGAAGGAGAAAAGAGAATGAAATCAGATTTATTCCCCTGTACTTTTCTCCATGATTTATCTGTCCTGAGTTTTCTGGAAGTCACTGGTTCTCTTAAGGCATCTTACTTTATACAGCTCTTTTCTCCTGAATTACAGTAATGTTCCCTCCTCTTGACTTTCAGTCTCAAAGTTCAGTGTTTCCTAGCTTTGGATTATTGCATTATCTCCTGTGATTACTTAATGCCTACTTCTTTAAAAACAATACTTTTATGAATAAACCTCTTTGAATTTTTCTGTTTTGGAAGTGCTGTTTCCTGTTGGAATCTTGACTGATAGGGATCACTGGTTAGGGATCTCCAGCAGAATTAATGTTGAATAGAAGTAGCTATTAAAGTTGAATAGAAGTAGCTGCAGTGGTTTACTTTGCTGGCACTCAATCTAAAAAAAAAAAAATCCTATTTAACCATTAATTATGGTGTTTATTGTGCTTTATAAATGCTACTAATAGTATTAGGGCAGTTCCCTTTATAATCTGTTTTCTGAGAAGTTTTGCCATGAATTATTAAATTTTATCAAATTATTTTTCTATATCTGTTGAGATGATTATATGATTTTTCTTCCTTCTGGTAATATGGGAAAACATATTTTCATTTTTAAAACTTTTCAAGCATACATACAGAAAATTGCAGGGATCAAATCTGCACAACTTGACTATCACTACTTGAACAGAGCCAGGAAATCACCAGTCAGGTCAAAAGACTGTAAGTTCTCATCTCCTCAGAATCCCACATGGTGACCGTTTTCCAATAACTACCCTTTCTTTTCTAGAAAATAACCACTATTCTAGCTTCTAGATTAGCTTGACTCTTTTGGATTTTATATAAATGGAACCTGATAATCATACTATTTGCAGGCCGGCTTCTTTTGAGCTGACTGTGGCTCAGATCATGAACTTCTTATTGCCAAATTCAGACTTAAATTAAAGAAAGTAGGGAAAATCACTAGACCATTCAGGTATGATCTAAATCAAATCCCTTATGATTTATACAGTGAAAGTTACAAATAGATTCAAGGGATTAGATCTGATAGAGGGCCTGAAGAACTATGGACGGAGGTTTGTGATGTTGTACAGGAGGCAGTGATCAGGACCATCCCCAAGAAAAAGAAATGCAAAAAGGCAAAATGGTTGTCTGAGGAGGCCTTACAAATAGCTATGAAAAGAAGAGAAGCAAAAGGCAAAGGAGAAAAGGAAAGTTATACCCATTTGAATGCAGAGTTCCAAAGAATAGCAAGGAGAGATAAGAAAGCCTTTCTCGGTGGTCAGTGCAAAGAAATAGAGGAAAACAATAAAATGAGAAAGACTAGAGATCTCTTCAAGGGAATTAGAGATACCAAGTGAAATTTTCATGCAAAGTTGGGCTCAATAAAGGACAGAAATGGTATGAGCCTAACAAAAGCAGAAGATATTAAGAAGAGGTGGCAAGAATACAGAGAAGAACTGTACAAAAAAGATCTTCATGACCCAGATAATCACGATGGTGTGATCACTCACCTAGAGCCAGACATCCTGGAATGTGAAGTCAAGTGGGCCTTAGAAAGCATCACTACGAACAAAGCTAGTGGAGTCAATGGAATTCCAGTTGAGCTCTTTCAAATCCTAAAAGATGATGCTGTGAAAGTGCTGCACCCAATATGCCAGCAAATTTGAAAAATTTATCAGTGGCCACAGGACTGGAAAAGGTCAGTTTTCATTCCAATCCTAAAGAAAGACAATGCCAAAGAATGCTAAAACTACTGCACAATTGCACTCATCTCACGCACTAGCAAAGTAATGCTCAAAATTCTCCAAGCCAGGCTTCAACAGTTCATGAACTGTGAACTTGCAGATGTTCAAGCTAGATTTAGAAAAGGCAGAGGAACCAGAGATCAATTGCCAATGTCCATTGGATCATCGAAAAAGTGAGAGAGTTCCAGAAAAACATACGCTTTATTGACTATGCCAAAGCCTTTGATTGTGTGGATCATGACAAACTATAGAAAATTCTTAAAGAGATGGGAATACCAGACCACATGACCTACCTCCTAAGAAATTTGTATGCAGGTCAGGAAGCAACAGTTAGAACTGGACATGGAACAACAGACTGGTTCCAAATTGGGAAAGGAGTATGTCAAGGCTGTATATTGTCACCCTGCTCGTTTAACTTATATGCAGAGTACATCATGAGAAATGCTGGGCTGGATGAAGCACAAGCTGAAATCAAGATTGCCGGGAGAAATATCAATAGCCTCAGATATGCAGATGACACCACCCTTATGGCAGAAAGTGAAGAATTAAAGGGCCTCTTGATGAAAGTGAAAGAGGAGAGTGAAAAAGTTGGCTTAAAACTCAACATTCAGAAAACTTAAGATCATAGCATCCAGTCCCATCACTTCATGGCAAATAGATGGGGAAACA